TCACTCTAGCTCTACCTCTTCTGTCTTTCAAGTAAATAAATCTTTTTTTAAAAAAGAGGTGTTCATGCATCCATCAGTTGAATACAGGACATTCCCTCATTCCGCATGTACAGAAGACATTCATGTTCCTATTCAATGAGGACACCACATTCAAACTTCCCAACATTTCAGGTGACAGAGTTCACCTCTCCATGGCTGAGGACAACTCATTCATTCCTCCATCACATGACAACAAGACCTTCACCCTGTTGTGATGTGAGGAACCTGCATTCACACAGACATAACATGACACATATCAATCATCCTTCAATCACAAGGGCAGAGGCTGCTCAAACTTCGAACAGGATAAAAGAATACTCACCTTTAACCATTACCTACAGACACTCCATCCACCCTTCCATCATGGGAGAACAAGACCTGTATCTTCACGTGAAGACATTCCCTTCACCATATTCTCACACTGTAATAGGGCCTTCACCCTGCACCCTGAACTCAGAGAAGCAGAAGGCACATAGCCTTCTTCAGGTGATTACTGGGTGATAATTTTCAGTCACAAGTGGACAAGTGGACATTAACGCTTCCCTCAGAGTGGAGAAGACATTCAAATTCTCTAAAATGAGAATGACATGGTTGCCCTTCTGTCCAGTGATAAAAGGCATCAGTCTTAATTAGTGAGGAGAAGGCATTTACTATCTCAAAGGAGAATTCCAATCAATGTCCTTTAATCTGCAAAGAATAGGACATTCAGTCTTACAAGGACAGAGCATTTACTCTTTTCCTGGGATTGTAAAGTACATCTAGTGTTCCACCAAATAAACACATGACATTCAAATGTCCATCATGTGATGAAAGGGCATTAACACTATCACCACAGGACAAAATGGCATACACTCTAACCTTATAACTCAGGTGACCATGCTACCTTTCATCTGCTGAGTACAGGACACTGACCATGCCAGCACATGAAGACATGATCTTCTCCCTGTCACCATGAGAGGACAAGACATTCATCCTGTTACACAACAGATGAGGCTTCCAACTCTTCTCTCAAGGAAGGAAGGACATTCCCCATTCATCAGCTGAGAACAATCTACCCTTTCAACATGTGAGGAAAATGTGTTCATGCTTCCTTCAATTGAGGAAAGGAATTTCCCTCTTCCATCAGGTCCAAAGAGACCATTAACCTTCCCATTCATTGAGGATACCACGTTCAGACTTCCTCCATGTGAGATGACAGGGTCCTTCTCAACATGGCTGAGGACAAGGCATTCATCCTTCCATCACATGATAACAGGACTTTCACCCTACTGTGATGTGAGGAACCTGCATTCACCCAGCCCTCATAGGACAACACATCAATCACTGTCCCCTCAGCAGTGCAGAGTGTTCAAACTTCAATTAGGAGAGAACAGAAGATTCATCACGTCATTACATGAGGACTCTGCAATCACCCTTCCATCACGAGGAAACAGGAATTTTAAGGCCATCTTCACAAGAGGATACTCCTGTCGCCATATTCTCACATTATAAAATGGCCTTTATATTTCTGTCAAACAAAGAGTCGGTCTTTTGCTTTCTTTAAGTAAGTCTTGGTTGATAATTCTTCAGTCTGTATGGACACTGGGTTTGCACTTTCCTTTGTGAGCACAAGACATTCAAATTCTCTCACATGATGATGCAGAGTTCACCTTATGGCCAGTGATGAAACAGACTTCACCATCCATGAGGGTAGGAAATGACATTCACTATCTCTCAAGATAGGTCACGAGAATGCCTCTCTCCACAGAGAACAGGGTACCCAGCCTTCCTGCCAGGGATGACAGAATCTCCTACATGTGTGAGAATAATGTGTTCATCCATCCCCCAGCAGAGGACAGGTGCAGGCTCGCCATTCACTTTCCCATCAATGAGGGCACCACATCCATGCATCCATCATGAAGACAGGATTTTTATCCTTCCATCACATAACAAGACCTTCACCCTATTGTGATGTGAGGACCCTGCAGTCACCCACACCTTACATGTCAGCACACCAATCACCATTATGTCAGATGTGTACAGTATGTTCTAACTTCGATATGCAGAGGACAAAGTGTTCATCCTGCCATCACTTGAGAAATCTGCATTAACTCTTAATTCTTGAGAGAACAGGACCTCCTTGCTATCTTCACATGAGGAAATTCCCTTCACCATATTCTCACATCACAACATGGCATTCACTCCTCTGTCAGAAGAGAAGGCATTTGGCTTTTAGCTAAGCTCTAGGTG